ATGTACATGATGGTTCTTTCATGGCATGGTAGGAGCCAAATCATACTGATGTACAGATTTCTTCCTGCAGGACTCTCATGGACCTCTCAGGAAGAGACTGCACTTTACAAATTTAAAGAAGGACCAGGACCTCTACATAACAACCTAATCTCACTTTTGGGGAGTGCATCTAGTAGTGGGAAGCGATTCAAGATGACTGATTAGGAGCACTTGTATCTCAGCTCTCAGTTTGCTCTGCTCTACTGCATCTGAAGGTCATCTCAGAACAGTGAAGAACTCCAAAAATGGAAATTGGGAATGATTTGTGCTTGCAAGTTTTTAAATGTGGGAGTTCACATTTTCAGGTGCAACTGCAGGTTTCCCTGCTACTTTGAAGAGGCTTGAAATAGACTCCTGGGGAAAAAAATCCACATTGTTTTCTTTCCCACCCCCACCTCAACAGGGGGAATTCTGCTTAACCTGCTGAGTCCAAAGCATGAGCTAGATTGAGAGGTGAGAAAATTATGTAAAGTTCCTGTGCTTGTGAAAGTCTGATAAAAGGAAACAACCCTGATCTCTTCATAGAATGTGAAAGGTAAGAAAACAAGGCAGGTGAAGTGATTTCATGTTAAAGTTTTGTCAGGGAAATGAGTGGGACTTCATACCTTTCCTACTGAGGGATTTCAGCTTCTAATCTCAGGGAACTTAATCTCTGTAAACATGGTGATAAGGACAGAAGGGAGGAAAACTCTCTCCCAAGTAAAATGTTGCTCCGGCAATAGAGAATTAATACAGTGGGACTCAATAGTGATCCAACAAGGAAATCAATCCATTGTGAGACTTCACACTAATGAGTGAAATGGGTTTTTAAGAAGAATTGTTTGGTTTGGATTGTAGCTTGGTTTTTGTAGGTTGGGTTTTTTTGTTGTTTTGGGTTTTTTTAATGTCTGCATGGGTACTTCGTGTCCTTTAAATAGGCCACACCTTCAAACAGACTTGACCTGACAGTGAAAGCAAGACAGTGACTTTTCTTAGCTCAGGGTCTAAATGTTGCCAAGAGATGAACTATTTATAAGCTTAACACCTGACTAGGTGCTAAATAACTCTGGCTGATAAAGCTTTTGGTGCAAAATTATCACTCCAGATTAAGACTGGACTGGACACCCAAAGACCTGGAATGCTAGAAATGATTCAGGTAGGATTTAAGATGCATTTTAAAAGGTGTATTTAATGTATCTTCTCTAAGATTGTATAATTCAGCAAGATTATGGAGTTTAATAATGACGGATAGGTCTTTTACCTGTATGTAAACAACACAACAGGGAATTTATTTGAAAGAAAATCACCTAAGTGTTTAAATACAGCATTAAACCACAAATGGATTTATCTACATCCAAGTAGCCTTCTGCAAGCTGGATCTGTGTTTAACTGACTCCACTGGATGGTGGCCCTCTCATTCTTACATAAATATTCCCCTGACCCCAGTATATTTGTTATAAAAGGAAGAGAAAAAAAATATATTAAAGCTTGTTGGACTGATTTGCTTGCTTGGAGAAGCTGACAGAGCATAGTTGACCTTAGATGTGGTGGGGAGGGGCCAGGGAACAGGACTGTTTTCATTTTATAGTGTAATAAAAGTTTAAACATATCACAACCCTCTTGCGTGGGGCTACAGAGGTCACAACCAATTTACTGAAAAACACTGAGCAATAAAACAGTCTGGAGCCTCTTCTACTGCAGCTCTAATCCCCTAATAAAGAAGTGGAAATAATCAGACTGTGTCATTCACAAAAGGGCAGAAGTAGAATTTCAGGGCTGTCTCCCATCCACAGTTCTCCCATGCAAGCATGTGCTGCAGAGCCATTTTAGGGCAAGATTCACAGTCACCTGGAGCAAGGGAATCCAAGCATAGTCAAAACCCAAGTCCTGGGGCCTGCAGATGTGCCTGTATGGTCTGAGAAAAGTGCTGAGCAAGGCCATATATAGGTTGCAATTTGTCCAGGCAGTTTTCTTCAGGTTGGCCTCACCTGAGTGTTGCATCGTTGTGTAGAGCCAGGAGAAAAAGAACTAACAGCCAACAATGGAAATGGGAGGTCAGAAGGAATGGAAACAGCCAACAATGGAAAGGGGGTCAGAAGGCTCAGGATGCTTATAGTCACTTTGAGTCCAGCCTGTGCTTGCAGGGATAATGTGGTGTAGCCATCCAAGCACCACTGGCCACTTCTGCAGGCTCAGCAGACCTGTGGTAAATGGCTGGAGTTGCAGCTCTAAGAGCTCCCTGTGCAAGAGGCATGCTTTAGAGCCCACCTTCAAAAGCAAACTCAGCAAGGCAGAAATGAACCAGACACTTTGTGAATCCTTTCAGCAACTTCATGTTATCTTGGTCCAACCCAGTTCCTGAGCACACACCATCAATTAATTGTGATGCTGCTGAGCTGCACTATGCAGTCCTGCCTTTCTTCCCAAGCACAGGTGTATTGGTAAGCTGAAGAATTCTGCCCCTCGTGCTGGTGTCAGCTGGAGGAGTTTGTGCTCCTAGTTCCCAGCCATGAGGCAATGAGATCCCAGGGTCAAACTGGGCTGCTGCTGTCACTGAAGGGATTTGTCTCTCTCACCGTGTACCTGGCCCTGGCCGTGCTGACCAGGCACAGAGGCTCAGCCCATGGAATGGGTCTGAGTGGCTCCCTGCTGTTCCTGCCATCAGCTGCCAGGTGCACCCAGCACAGCCCTGCACAGCTGATTGCTGGTAACCAGACCCAGCTCAGCAGCAAACCCGGCACTGCCCGTTGCTGTTATTACAGTAAAGGAGACAGCAGGTGCCGTGGAGTAACACTATCAGGCAATTTGTCACTGTTTTTCAGCAGGAAATCCTTCATATACTTTGTATCTAGCAATTTTCCTCTCTAGCTGTTGCAGCCTGCAAAGAAAATGGAGAAACTCACAAGACAATTCTAGAAGAGTTAGTTCAAACAGTAAGAATGAAAAGTGTTGTTATAGGGACCTTTTGTTGTCAAAGGAGCTTTTAATCATGTTATGCCTCATGAAGAGAATTTCTATGATGTTGAAGGAGTATATAAAACAACTATCCTTTGAGGGGGAAATCCAGCAGTTCTGACAGTTCAGTCTCGTGAAAAATAAAAATAATTTTAATTACCATAATACTTAATATTAGCAAGCATTAATGTCCTGTGGTACTAGACATTTATGAGCTCTACTCCCGAATGCTGCATGCAGTGTGCCCAAAAGGCTGCCTCAGACCACACAGGTGCAGTAGGGAGATCTGAGCAGAGCAGGGGAGCAGAGAGCCTGGCTGGAACAACGGGAACTTGGCTGGCTCACCGCTACTGAGAAAATATTCCAGAGTGGATACCAGTGCTTTCTATAAATAAAGCAAGGGCATAACATCAGGGAGAGTGGAGAGCCAGCTGAGCTAAAGGATAGAGTTGGCAGCAAAAGAAATAAAGGACCAGGAGACAATTAAAAAGAACCTTGTAATCAGTGGAAAGAGGTTTTGAACAATATATTACTGAGTGTAACAGGAGCTGGGGCTAGAGCCATGTTGGACACCATCCCTTTGCATCCTGTCCTTGCAAGTTACAGCCTCTTGAAAGCCCTCTGATGCTGGGTGTACCTAAATCACTTAGCACCCTCCCACAGGCATCAGGAGCCTCTGGGCAGCTGCAGGCCCTGTGTCACCACGTGCCCAGCACTGCTCAGGAGGAGCAGCTTCAATGAGCCCCATCAAATGTGGCTGATCACCAGCTGATATCCTGGGGGTTAAACCTGGAGGGCTTCTCATCATGGTCAAGAACCACTGTATTCAAATAATGACTAGAGGAGGGGGAGAGAATGTTCCATCACCCACATTTTTTAGGCAGCTGCTTTGTTGATAAGTAGACTAGATAACAGAGGTTAATCCCTGCTGACTGCAGAAGGAACCTGAGCTCCCAAATCTCAAACCCCATTTTGTTTTAAATTAGCATTTGTCTTGTCCAGTTCAGCTGTTCTTGAAGTCTCTTATTGTGTTTTGCCCAAATTTCCATGCTCCTTTTTGATGGGTCTCATTATATTCTGAATGAGGATTGTGCATAATGTTTATTTACAGCAGGGGACAAGACCTAAAGATGCAATGAGTCCCTTTTGGTACCTTGCTCCTATTACCAATACTGCAACATTGTGCTGATTTATTTTACTGACAGAATAGATGAAACAACAGACATGCAGGAGGTCAGATGAGACTGTCAGAGGCAGCCCTGTGTTACACTCTGATATTGTGGCAGAGTGAGCTTAGCCCTACCTGATTCTCAATTTTCAAGCTCTGGTACCAGTTTATTTTTCTCTCCCTCTGTCATTTCATTCAATTCTGTTTCTGCTCAGAAGTTTGTGCTGCCTCATTTCCTTTTCCCACTGTTAGTCTTTAAAAAACTTATGAAAATAAAAGCTTGCTTCTGGCACAAGAGAAATGAAATGCTGCATTTAATAGGTGAATGAGGCATCATCTTTTCTTTTAATTGTATTCCTAGTTACTGACTTTCTGTTGAGACATCCTTGTTTAATTCTTTGGCCAAGTCATAAGTTCAGTGATGCTAATGCAAATTAAAAGAGAATCAATTGCATTTGTTGGTGTTATAATCAGGTTAGCTAGAAGAGAAGAGGGCAGGATGCATCTACTTCTCTATAGTACATTTGTCCTGGGCATACTCAATGCAGTGATGGCTTGAAAAGTTCTTAAAACAATTTTGAATTAATAACAGGGAAGTTTAATATTCTGATTTTTGTATAGATTGATTGATTTCAGAAGCAATTACAGGACTTGGAAAATTTTATGAAGCAAGATCATTTCAGTATTTTTTGTTATTTCAACAAAATATCTTATATCTTTTAGGTTCAATATTAAGTTTAATGGAAATGCAACATGAAATTTGATGTATTTTATTATATTTTGTTTTTAAATAAAGATTACACTGCATGTTTGGAAACAGATCAAGAATTTGCTTCTGGACTCAGACTTTGCATGAAAAATCCCAGCTTGCAGTGGTAAGATTTTTTTCCTAATACAGATTAGCTTAGATGGTCAGAATATGGTGCTAAACAATGGCAAGGTTTTGGATTCTATATAGGCCATTCACTTAAGAGTTGGACTTGATGACCCTTGTGGGTCTTTTCCAACTCAGAATATTCTGTGATTCTCGATTCTGTCATCCTGATAATAGCAATGGTATGTGGTGCATTGTCAAGGCATACAACCACACAGCTCTGCCTGGTACTGCATGATAGCAAAGATGAGGAAGGGTTGTGTTGAAACACAGAAAAGAATCTCCTATTGCTCTGGCATCAGCAGTTGCAATGCCAAAGGGGGGTTCTGGTCTGAATGTTCACAGAGATGACTCAACTTTGAGAGGTTCTGCATATAATATGAATGGGTGTTTTTATAAAAATATATTTCCATATGGGCAGGGCTCCTTATGAGGACAAAGTGGGCTAAATAGAGAGAATATAAAACACACCTGTCCAGCTTCCTGACAAGTTGGTGCAAAGATTATACTTTAGGATTGCACACAGAGGCCAGGCAGCAAATACTTGACATCATATTGCACAATAGAGAAAGGTGAGATTTCCAACTTTTCATAGTTATAAAGTTTGGCTGTCTGGAGTGTTTTATTACTGGGGATGAGTGTCTTTGAAGGCAAACTGCAAGACAATGGTCTTGAAATATGCAAAACTAATGGGCATGTCTGGTATTTTGCTGATTCTTTTGGAGAGATAGTCTATTGGAAAGAACTGCTGCCAGCACATGTGGGAAGGACTGTGCCTCTTGAACCTTTTGCAGTATTTTGAGAAGGCTGATGGACAAGTCAGCTCGGTGTAAGCAGCAAGGAAGTAGATTTGTGCAGCAACTTTGAGCAGATCAATGCGGGTTTGCCACAGCTCTGTGCTGTGTAAACAGATACCACAGGGGTGGGCATGCTGTGGCTGAGGGATGGATTAGATGGACTCAATACATGAGCAGCAGCTGCACATACTCAGTTTCCCAGGTCTGCCAAAGCTTCTCTGGAGCTGAGTTAACCAGTTGTGCACATATGTGTCCTATTATGCATGATGTTACTCTATCTTTTCATTTTTTATTGACTCCATATTATTTTCTATAAATTCTGATTTTGCAATGATGATCACCTCACTGTCTTCTACAATCTCCCTTCCCCACATTGCAAAACAGATTTAACTTCAGTCAGTGTGTACTGACATCATTCCAGTTTGCTTTTCTGCTCTGGGATGCCACCCATAAATGTACAACACTATGTACACAGATAGAGGTCTTTGTGTGTACAGGAAAGGTACTACTCAATCATTCTGCTGAGCAGAAAGGGGCTGCAGGGAGCCACATTCCTGGCCACAGCCACAAACCTGTTCCTGAAGCAGCCTTAGCCATGGCCAGGCAGAGATAGTGGCCAGGTGATCACAAACCTCAGGCCTACCCTGACAAATGTTTCTTCTGCATGCCACTGTGCAGAGACCTGCCAAGTCATGCTAACACCCTTATCTGGGAAAATGTCCCTTCCTTGCTGAGTGTAGGACCTTGGGAGAATTCTCAGCCTGAGAGCTTCTAAATCAACTGCAAAAAATGCAATATTATCTGAGGATATGCAATATAGTTCTGAGGATAGCTTCAAAATACAAGTACTACAAATAAAATTGGAGGGCTGGTATAAGATTTCTTTGATTTTTCAGAAGGTGTTTGGCTTTCTCATGCTGTCCTTTTTTCACATAGTTCCTACTCCTCTCTTTGCATCTCTGGTGCAATTGTGCATATGTGCGCAAGGTACATTTTTTTTTTTAAATCTTCCAGTGGAAGTTGTCTCAGCAGTATTTTGTTTAATTTGCACAGCAAAGTGTGTGTTTTTCTTGTATGAAACAATCAAGAGGTGCAATGCCCCATGCTGATCTCTGGTTTATGCTATTTTAGTTATATTGAATAGTAGCTTTATTTTGATGTAATTTCATTTGGTTCTCTGAAAATATGCATACTGTGCTGCTAACCTTTCTGATGATCTTTTCCTAAGGAGGCTTAGCCAGTACAGAATTCTGATCTGTGCACTCAAGGTGGTAGAGAAACAGAAACATACACTCCCTACAATAAACTCTTTTTCCTGCTTACTGCAATTCAGCCTAACCACCTGCAGAATGCACACCTGTTTTTTATATTGCTTTCATGCCTGGCTCAGAGAGAGAGGTACACTCAGGTCCTTTCCAGGTGTATTTGCAATTGTGGATGTCAGTAAATTACCCTGAACCATATGGCATCAGCAAAGACTTTTTTACTCACCTCTAAAGAGCTTGAAGTCTTTTTGCCTGATTTTATTGATATTGATCTGGAGCTCAAAAAGGAAAAGTGTTAATGTGTCTTGAGAAATTCATACTGCAAGTCAGTGTGCACCATTTGTGTGTTGTTATTTCACTGATCTGAGGCACAGTTTTTAAAATCTCTTGATGGAACATCTGCCTCTCCCTGAAGTGATTGTTGTGCCTGAGCACCACTTACTTTGGAAGCAAGTACAGTTCCATTAAAATAATCAGGGAGGTACTGATTTATAGTACCTAGGGATCTGTCTGTTCTTTACATAAATAAATGCAAAAATCTGTGTTCTCTGCCCTTGTTTGTCAGTTTTCCAGCAAGGACAGATGGAAATTGTCTGGAAGGGGCGTTTTAACTATATGAACAATTTCTTTATAGGAAGAAAGCTGGAGAAATCCCATATCTTCTGCATTCTTTTCCCCAGCTATTCTCTTGCCACACGAATTTGTACTTGTAATGGATATCTCAGGTAAAGGACTTCAGTCTTTACCCAAGTACAGAAGATTTGTAGTAAAATATCTGTTCATATGCACATATACATATGAAGAGAGAGAGTCCTTATTCATGTGTCTCCTGACAGAGGGTCAGCAGAGACAATAGTAGTTTTTCATAAATAACAATGAATTAATTACCCTAGGGAAAGAAAGTTTGGTGATGCCTGGTTGTTCTATTATTTCTTTACATATTTATGTGTATTATTTCTAGTGTATTATGCAACCTTCAGGTGTTTTGGCTGACAGCTTTGTCCTCACTTACTCCAGTGTGACTCCATCAGCTTCCCTGGTACTGAACCAATTGTCCTGGGGTGACTTTATGGCTTTACACCTGAGTATACCACTAAACAAATATTAGTTTCCATGCTTTGTTACACAGATGTGATGCAGAGCAGAAACAAACTGATCCTCAGGCCAAACATGTGGTATGGATTGCAATTACAAAGATCAGTAATGAGGGCAACACCCTTCACTTACTCCAGTGGTTTCTGGTAAATCCTCCTTTTTCCTCCTCTGTAAAAAATAAAAATAAAAATACTATGAAACACTTCACTCCTCTTCATTCCTAAGCCACAGATGTTTAATAGAACTGGTAAAAATTTACACTATCAATCACTTTTTTTTGAGAGAGGAAGGAGTGTTTTGGTTCTTGCCAGACACAAATGTGTCTCAAGCTCTGCTGCTGCCATGTGCTGCCCCAGTGACTCTGCCAGCACATTCATTAAGAGCTGCTGCCTGAAAAAGTGAAGTCTTGGTACATGCATGAGGTTTTGGACTTTTTTACTCTCTTTGGCTAGGTTTTAAAGCTAACCACAGTTTCCTGTGCAGCCTGACCTCCGTGTTTCCAGCATACCCCAGTGTCATTTCCGTGTGACTCAGATCTGAGCTGGTGTTTGCAGCCTGGCTTTCCCCTCGGGCCTGACCCACAGTGCCAGCATGCACCTGGGAGTGAGGTCCCTGCTCCTGGTGTTGCAGCCACATGTAGGTCTTCACTGGTACACAGCAAGAGGTTGTCAGAAGCCTGACAACAATAGTGCAGGAATGTGCTATTTGAGGCTCTGGGACCTGTTGTTCCAAAATGTCACAGAGATAAATAATTCAGCAAGGTTCGTATCGGGGTTCGGTGTTGTATGAAAACAAGACTGTTGAGGAGTAAATAATAAAAAAATTATTTGGAAAGGTTGCAAAGTACCAAGTTTTGAAGATTTAAACCAGTCATCATGAACTGGCAGGATCTCTCTATGGGGAACTATTTATCCTGACCAAAGTTTCCTGCAAATGCTCCCAAACTACCACTGTTAGGATCAGCCTATAGGGTCCACTTAAGCTGACCACTGGCCTGATTGATTTTTAGGTGCCAAGCTACAGAAAGTTATATTATGTCAGAGGTTAATCCATGACACATAATAGTGACTACAACTGATGTGACAGACATGATGTACAATTGCAGCAGAGAAAGCAAAACTATTTTCATGAAAAATAGAACGTGACAACCAAGAAATGACTCAGTCTTTGCAGCATTTCAGAGAAAATATCTTTGACATCCTGCCTGCACCCATTTCACTCATAAATACTGTGAATAGTTTAAGACACCTTATCTTATCTCACAATCTCAGGTCAAAAGGAAATCACTCATTAAATGAAAAAATTATGAAGACAATTTGAGCACTTTTGAAAGGTGCTGTGCTGACATGCCTGTGCTTTGGTATCCAGAAAGGAAGCACAAAGTAGATGGATACATTTCCCTGCACTGGCATGGTGCTGTTCCTTGCTCTGGTCCCAAAGAACTGTCCCACCTGAGGGTGAGAGTTTTGGCTGAGGAGACCAGACAGTACCCACAGCAGCCCAGGATGTGACAGATCATCCTGTCCCCAGACTGAACCTGCACGGGCTCCCATCACCTGGGCAGCTGCCAGGTAACAGCCCCCTCTGTTTGGGCTGGACCAGCCTCATGACCTGGGGAACTGTCTGTATCCCACTGTAGGGCCTTGAAACAAAACTCTCTCCCTGCTCAGCTACCACAGGCACTCCCCCAGTTCCTGCTCAGCCGCCCTGCGCGCTGCCCAGGGGCTCTCAGTGCACCCTGACACCCAGCTGATCTGCACAGCTCTTGGCCTCTGCATTTGATGGTCAGCAGCATTCAGCATTCTGTCTCATCCTGGTGACCTGCCCTCTGCCAGGCTGTAGCT